GAGGTATTTCCTCTCTCATTGCCTTTCTACTTTTATAATAATAATAATAACAGCCACTGTTTTAACCTTTATATATGTGTGTGATGTAGAATGTCAACAGTTATATCACCGCTGTATAGCCCCTAAATGCAGCGTTGTAAGAAGTACACATTTGCCACTAAAATGGAAATACTCCCGTACAAATATCTCTGAATTGTCTTCCATCCACTATCATATTAAACTTTAGGAATTACACACTCTTCACAGACTTTCTTCCACTTCTCCACCTGTTCCCTCTGCAGAAGACTTGTTCTGAACACTGTTAGCTTTCACAGCTGTTGGGGGCTTTTGAAGTTTTCCTCTACTTGCTGCTGCACAGAATGACAGTGCAGGTCCAGTGTATTGTGTTAGTTATGTGAAAATGTTTGATTGTATCTGGCTTTCATTCTCCACAATTCCATGGAAGCACTACTTTAAATGGTGGAGACCTGACAGAGCAGATGCTGGCTGACACAGTCCAGATCCTCTTGTTGAGAACAATCTGTTCACTTAGCGAAACATTCTGCAGCTTCTGAACCAGCACACAGCAGTGAGATATACAAATATACAACCGCAGTGTGTTCAGTTTAGGTTTAGATGTTAGTGCAATGGTCACTGTGGTGACTTAACGTCTTGTTGGAGCTTTAGATTGGCTGCAGTTTTATTGTCTTGCATTGTACTAAGAGGAGTTTCTGATATTTTATCCCAAACGAGGGTGTCTATTTTATTATTTATTTTATTTTTTGAAAGGAAGAAACTTGCACATGACTTGGACAAGCCTTTACTGAGGATACTGACTGTCTGCAACACTAATCTCTACCTGCATGGGATTCTTCAGTAAATAGGACTTTTTCTCATCAGCCCCTGCTCTGTTTTAACCCACCCTGAGCGCCTGGCCATGTTTCTCCACCTGTTTTAAAGACATTCATCGTCCTCTAAGACGCTCCTAGACAGCCTTCCCTTAACAGGACTTTTGCTGATTGGAGTCTTGTGCTCTTTATTTAGTAAATCCTGTGTCTGTGATGAAGCTTGTTTTCCATCTCTCAGTGAACAAAGTGTTGATGTTCTGATGATTACTTTGGATACAACTGATCCAGTTACGACAAAGTGTTTCAGAAGGCCGTATATTATTTCAGTCACGTTAGAACCATGTGAAATAGCAACTTAGGTTTTCTGATAGAACAATAATTAGTAAGCAGAACGTGTATAAATACCTTAATCATAACAGTAGTAGTCTCTGTATTGTTATTTTTCTCTACTTTCTGTTCCGAGGACTATTTGTTTTGTGTAACATGCTGATTTGAGCAGCAGTGGTTCGACTACAGTGCACCAGGGGACACTAAAGACAGCAAAAGCACAGCATGAACAAATAAAAATTAAACAAAAAGACAATTATCCATTTTCAAATTAAATGTAAGAGATGGATAATCAAAGATTCGAACACATTTTTCATTGCATTTGTTCTGATGGTCCAAACTAAACTGAGAACTACACAGACCTGGCAGATCTGCAGAATCAAGTCGATGAACTCATGTTAGCTAAAGTCTGATGAATAAATACACAGTACAAGTAAAATGTGAGACCAATCAGACAAGAGGTAAATGCAACGCTGCTCTGTTTTTCCCGATGGACACTTACCTTAGTTTACTTTTCTATTTCAGTATCACTAAAACTTGGGTTTGCCTCATTGAGCCCCTTTCAGACTTGCACTACCTGTAACAGGGCGCTACATGAATGTGTTGGCTTCATGTCTGAATGAACAACCTGCTCACTGTTCTGTGATCCAACGAGCTTCGACCATTTATTCTACCACAGAGAGCAAAAAACACTGTTTACAGACCCAAATCACAAAACATCTTTCTCACTGAGTCAACAGATAAGATTAATGAGACGAACCAATCAGGAATGTAAATCAGGTTTTATAAAACATTAACAGGAGATGAGATTCAGTTTGTTGCTTCCAGCTGTTTGCAGGAGTCTTTTCGTTCATTAAACACCTGCAGCATCAGACAGCAGCACTTCTTGCTTTGTGTATTCAGTTGATGATGAAGAACAGACTTTGATTTACTATCACTCACAACTCATTGGGCCAACTCAGCGTATAACCCTTTATGGGGCAAGTGACCATATTTGGTAACTTCCTCGGACGTTCAATATGTCCACCCTGTGCCTCTCCTTGAGGTTGAAGAACCATGTTCACTTTGAATTAGTTTTTATATTAGTGCCAACATCACTACCTTAGAAAAATGTCACTGAACAAATGTTCCAGGCCTTTATAAACGCTTTGTTATTGGTTTGCGTTGAACTACACTTTGATTTATTTTTTGAGATTAGTGCCAAAACCACTACCTTAAGAGAAATGTTACTCAATGAGCTTTATATATATATATATATATATGTTACCATGCTCATTCCTAACTGTACATACTTCCTACTGGCTCCTTTTGTTATTATATTTATATATTCTTATTTGTCTTTTTTATACTTGTATTTTGCACCACTGGAGTTGTCTTTTAATTTCATTGTACTTTGTGTATGATGACAATAAAAGCATTTTATTCTATTCTATTCTATTCTATTCTATTCTATTCTATTCTATTCTATTCTATTCTATTCTAAATACTTTGTTACTGGTTGTGTAAGTATCATTACTTCAAACTCAAATGTTTCTAAATAATTTTTTGTTTGTTTGTTTGTTTTTTGCAGTTTGTTACTTTTTCTTTTATTTATTATAAATTCCTTTTTTTAAAAACCGTAGACGGGCAAGTCACCATATATGGTAACTGTATTAATCTTGATTTGCAACATTTATTTATTTACTTTTTAAAGTCACAAAAGTAAAACTATCTTGAAATATCCTTCAGCAACACCCTAGGGTTGAAATGTTCCAAGTACTTCAAGGAGTGCCCTAAAGGGTTGACGTGTCTCATAGGAAGGCGAACTTCTTTACTCAACCATCACCAGCCATAAAAAACCATTGACAGTAAACTTTAAAGCTCATGTCAGGAATCCTGGCGTCATCTTTGACTCCATTTTGAGATTAAAAACCACTTCAGTAGAGACATGATGCTGCCTCCAGCTGAGGAACATTGCGAAACTGAAGTCCATCCTCAATCTGAAAGACATGAAGAGTGTAATGACTAATTTTCTCAAAGATAGACGACTCGCTGGATCTAGGTATTGATCAGTCCTTAGTGGCTCATCTACAGCTGCTGCAAGACTTTTGACTAATACCAAACCAGTGGAAAGCATTCCACCTGTACTTTCATCCCTACACTGGTTACCAGTTGAACTGACTTGATTTTAAGGTTCTTCTATTTGTCTATAAAGCCATACAAGGGTTGGCACCGTGGTACATTCAGAACCTTTCTGTCTCACCTCCACCTCAAGTTCTTTTACATCCTTAAAGCAGCTGCTGGTGGGTAATGGGGAGATAGAGCCTCTACACTGGCAGCTCCAAAGCTTTGGAACAACCTTCCTCTTTCAATTTAATGTTCCTCCTTCACTCATAATTGTAAGAAAAACCTCAAGGCGCACATGTTTTCATTGGTGGATCCTAATGGTCTTAATAAGCTCTATTTATTTTTATCTGTAAAACAGATCTTACAAGCTGCCCGTTTTAGTATTTTAACACTATTTCATTTGGTTTTACTAATTAATTTAATCTGGCTTGATGTTTACACCGATTTAAATGTATTTTTTATTTATTTTTGCTGCCTATCTGATAACAGCACATTAGTCAAAGGTGGTTTTCAAACATGCTATATAATAAATTGTATTGGATTTATACATAATTGCACGCAGAGTCCAATCTGTAGAAGAAGAAGAAGCTTTATTGTCATTGTACAAAAAATACAATGAATATTCATTTGGCATCATCTTCAAACTAATACGGTCACAGTCTAAGAAAAACATAAAGTTAAAAGGTGATATAAATAATAGCAATAAACTGAATACTCTATTAAAAGTGCAAAAGAGCATTTGCTAGAATAATGTATGATAATTCTAATTATAATGATAATTCATACTTCTGTACCATAAGGGTTCTGTATGATTTTTCACAGTACTTTTTGTTTACACAGTACTTTTCTACTTTTCTTTTATATATAATATTTTATTTAGATTTAGATTTCTATATGCATTGCCTGTCTTGGTATTGTTGTGTACCACAGTTTCATTCACCACGTCACAGTCCTTGTGTTCACTTGGCAATAAAAGCTTTCTGTATTCTGTATAATTACGCTCCATCGCTGTAATCTGTGTCAATGCAGCCGTGAGGACCATGAAGTGAAATGTGTCTGAATGACAGAAAGTCACTTTGACAGACTGATGAAGCCAGCAATGTTCCGTCTCTCGCGTCTGAAGGCCGCTTCAGGTTCACGTCCATTGCCAAGTCGCCGACGTGCCAATTTCCGACGGCCGTGAAGGCAGCAGCGGCGCCCGCAGCCCTCCTCCTCCTGACCGCCGCCGCTCTCTGCTGCTCTGTCCGAGCGGCTCAGTGTCACAGCACGTAAGTTGTGGTTGCTGACCTGGTGGCTTAACTTCTATCACTTCATGGTACGTGTTTCCTACAGAGCGGCTTCCTTCGCCGCCTTTTCACGTTCAGACAGAGCGGACAGCCGGTCCGTTAAACGGCTACCGTTAGCTACAGCTAGCTAGCTAGCTAACGTTAGCATACCGGACTGGCAGATGTAGCCGATAAGACATGTTTTTAACAACGTACATGTTTCATGTGAGCCAGCAGAGTAACAAAAACCTACAAGAAGCTAATAAAAGCCGTTTTTTGATGTCATTGTAAACACCAAGAGCTCCCCAATGTCAGCTGATGTAGCTGTTAGAGGAAGCACAGCGGCGCCACCTTCTGGTCACTCAGTGTAGTGCAAGGTGACATTAAAGCAACAACTCACCACTTTGTACCACGTTTTAGTGATATTTAGCTGTTTTCCCAATTCAAACTGCAAAAACCAAGCAGCAAAGAGCCAATATTAAGCTAATCAAGTGAATTTAGCAGCTCGTATGTCTCTGCACCTCTTTGATTGTGGTTATTTGGAGAGGTTAAACTTTAATCTGTGACAAGGAAGTGCCCTTGTCCGGTCAGTTCAGAGCTCATAAAACAGGCTATAGCTGCACAACAGTGGAAGAAAATGACACTGCCATCTTTTATTTTTCTTTAATATATATTGCAATATGTAAAAATAGAGGAGTTTTCACCATGTGTCTTGAATAACTTCAGGTGGAGTGATTTTATAGATGAGTGCATCTGCAACAAAAATAAAAAATATTTTTAAAAAGTTTGGAGCCTTTCTTATACAGTGTAACACTGGCTCCGACATAGCTTTGGATATTATTCAGATCTGGCTTCATACTTACAATCCAGAGCTACAGTCGTCCTCAGATGTATTCATACCCTTCCATTAAAGAAAAGAAAAATCACAATAGTCACTTAAATACCTAGAAACTGAAAAAAGTAATAAGAAATAAAAATTTGCTAAATTACAACTTAGTGAAATAAGACATCGCTTTTGAATTGTGGTTGAAAAGAATAATTAAAAAAAACTGTCTCGGACAAATTAGAGCACTTTGCTGATGAGCAGTGGGCCAACATTCAAACAGCTGTCAACAGGTGCAGAAGTCTGACTGAGAGTTACAGAAAACACTTGATTGCAGTGATTGGCTCAAAGGGTTGTTCAACAAAATATTAGTTTACGGGTCCCATCATGCTTGTTGTTTTAAATATTTCTGTTGAACCACAATTCAAAAGCAATGTCATGAGTTTCATTACATTTTTATTTGTTATTACTTTTGGCAATTTCAAGTTATTTCAGTGACAGCTGTTTATTTCCTTCTCTAATGGGAGGGTATGAACACATTTGAGGACGACTGTATGTGATGCTGGTTTAAATGATCAAACCAATTATTCCAGTGCTGACAGAGGACCTGTTTTTGGTCATTGTCTCTGTAGCTGAAATACTTCCATACAACTGACATTTCCTGGCACAATCAAATCTTCCTTTGCAGACCAGCGTGCTTTTCTGGTCATTCTCACCTGTGCGGTCATGTCACGGTGTCTGGCACAAGTATAAACTAACTTGAGTTTCCAATAGTACACCGACAAATGGCAGCTCATTGTGCTTTACACACTGCAACGGTCAAAGTTTAACACACTATTACACATTATTATGATGAAGTAGTATGTCCCAGTTGTATAATACTGCATGAAACACTTTGTGAGGGCAGCTGCAGTCTGTACTTAAAGCAAAAAGGAAAAGTATGTGATTTGGAATGCAATACAAAACCCAAAATAGTCAGTGTGGAAGGTTTGGAAACATAGCACAGCATATTTAAGAAGCTGGAAATGGCAAATGTTTGTCTTTTGTCTTCCAAAAAAAAAAAAGAAGAAGCTACATTGTTTAATCAGTAATGGAGAAATTGTTTTGTTATAAATTTTCAGTAATTCATTGACAGAACCTCTAACCGAGGATACACAACATGTGTTTTCATTTTCATGCTGACGTTCTGCTGAGGAACATTACATTCACAGGAACAAAGCTGAACACCTTTTATCCAGGTATAGTAATGACAAGATCTTTACAACAGGGAAAGAATTGGAACGATTAATGTTTGAGAATTTTAAGTGTTAAAGAATTTATTTGTAAGTTGCCACACATAGTGGGACATAGCAAACCAGAACTAGTATTTGCTAATGTACATGTTAACACATACAAACTTGAAAAACAGTGATAATGATGAGCGTTAAAACAGGCGTACAGTTTGAAACGTAGCTGATCAAATAGCCA